TATATATATATAATATAAAGATTAAAATAAACCAATAAACCTTCTTAAAAAAAGCTTGTAAAGAAAAATGTCCAAATCTATATTTTTTACATAATTTTCATTTGTTTATAAAAGACTATTGATTTATTGAAATTGCAAATAACAATGCCAATGTAGATAATTTTCACAATGAGCTCAAATACTCAAAAAATAGCGCGATAGAGAGATATGACTCAGTTTATGATGATACAGTATGTATTAGTAAAAAATATCTATTAAATAAATCATTATAGATTGATAAATCATTATAAGATCTTTTAATATAGCACCTTCTTAAAGAATTCCATAATCATATCATTTATTTATTATAACAACATAACTCAAAAAGCAAAATTTTCTAGAAAATAAATTTCAATATTTTAAATTAAAAAAATTTGTAACATTAATTTTTAAATGCAATGCATTTGTTGCAATAAATGATTATAGAAGAATCAGATTACTATCAAGATTATATTGATAAAGAATGTTAAAATAATTATTGATTATAGGAATAAAAATATGTATTTTTAAATGTTTTTCTTTTTTCTTTATTTTTCTACTCATCTTCCATAAGCAATTAAAAAATAACAATTTTTTAATTATGTCGTAATAAATAAGCGTTATGTAATTTTGTAATTCTGTATAATATGGATTCGAATGAAACATAAATCTTACAAAAAATCCTTGTATGAATTTTAATTATAATATAAATAATTACTGTTTAAATATATTTGTAAGTGTCGCAATTTATGTCTTTCACAAAATGCTTATCATCAGTTTTTCAAAAAAAGTCACGGTAATTTAATATTATTTATTGAAGCTATTTATAAAATTATAAAATTAACAGAACAATTATTTAATCGTGCAATTAATTACAAGGTTTTTTACTGAATCTCAATTTCAACAGTACAATCAACAACGTGTATATTTATATTAGACTAAGCATTCGAATTTTGTTATGAAATCAAATTGACAGAAAAATTGTAACAATGATAAGTCATTGTTTTGTCCTCCGAGACAATCAATCTTATAATGTACATTTTAAATAATTTAACGTATGTATCTACCGTATTATTTTATAAGAATAATAATAATAAATAAATTTCAAGACTAATGAAGAGTCAGCGCGAAAGGAATTGCGCACAGTTATTGATAAGTAAAAAAGACGTATATGACATACAAAACCTCACGGATGTACTGAAATTTTCGTTACAAATGTTCGTGACACGTCATTATTAAATTAAAATGAATTATCGCATAAGGAAATCCAAAAATTTTTCCAAATCTTCTGAATTATGTTGAATGCTTCGTTTGAGAATTCACTACAGTTATGGAATCTGAGAGTAACTCATTCAGGACTGCTTAACGTTTTTAATCGGAATTAAACGGAATTGTTATATTGCTGAAGACTACAAAGCAAGTTGAAACGTTCAAGATTTTGAAAGAACATAAATGTTTTGAAGAAGTAATTTTTATTTAATAACTGTGCGCAACTCCTTCCGCGCTGATTCTCATTAACTTTGAAATTTATTTATTATTATTATTTTAAATTATTGAAGGTTCGATTTAATCATTATATTATAACAGAATATTTCATAATAGAGAATTTATATACATTTTAAGTTATAACAAGAAAGAATAAATCTTAATTATTAAATTATTGTATATATTATATTATTTGTTTGGTTAGATTTCATAAAAAACTG